ATCCACCCTATGCCCCGCGCCAGCACCCCGCAGCCCAGGGACCCCTCCCCACCTTCAATGTTGTTCCTTGCAGGGCCCGGCACTGTCCCCACCACCCCCAAATTTGACTCTGCCCCCACACTCACTACTCCATCACCATCACCAGCTCAGCGGGGCCCTGGAAGGCGGCGAGGCACTGCACGAGGCGCGGGTGATGCAGCAGGTTCATGAGCTCCACCTCGGCCCGAGCCGCCTGCTTCTCTTTAGCCGTCCGCGTCCGGAAATATTTCCCAGCTCGGATTTTGCCGGTGGCTTTTTCCTGCAGCTGGTACACCGTCCCAAACTTCCCCCTGGGACAGAGCAAGGATGAGGGCTGGAGGAGCCATCACCACCACCCTGCATCCCACCCATGGCTGCGCACGGACAGCCACGGACCACCCCCAAGCGGTGGGGACGTGGGAACCCCCACTTACTCTCCCAGCTTCTCCAGCTGCGTGTACACGTCCGAAACCTTCTGCTGGCTGTTGATGACCACATCGCAGTACTCGAAGGTCTCTTCGCCTCCTGGGCGGGGTGGTCCATGCGTGGATCCCTCATGCTTTGGGGACCAGCTGCCAGCGCATCCCCTCCAGTGCTTATTCCCCCACCCCAGCTCCATCCAGGCCTGACCCCCCTCCCCGGGTGTGGATGGGACCTTTGGGGGACATGGGGACAGGAACTGCTGCTCCAGAAGCTCCTGGAGCAGCCCAACACCTTGCAAATCAGAGTTTGGGGCAAAAGGTGCTTCTAGGATCAAAAATCCAAGGGAAACGGGGCCATTAAACAGGATGGGATGGAAACTGGTGCTGATTTGGGGGTGGGAGTGGGGAGGGGGAAGGTCACACCAGCACTGGGGTCCCTGCGCAAAGCTTGTGCCTCCCCCGGGACAGAACAAGGGCTCAGCTGTACCTTCTGCCTGGGACATGGTGGTGCCACCAGCTCCTCGCTGGGTGCCGGCACAGTCAGGATGGGTGCTGGATGCGGCCCCGAAGCTCCCGGCAGCCCTGCGCTGAGGTGGGCGGTGTCCACGTGTCCGTTCCGGCTGCTCCCCAGAGTCCCACACCTTCTCCCTGCCACGCGAGACCACCAGCATCTCTCCACCTCCACCTGCACTCCCCGTCCTAGCCAAGAGCTGGCATCTCCATGGACCCAACGAGACCCAGCAAGGAGCCAATTTTAAAGCAAGATCTCTTCTCAGATGGGGACAAACTCTTTCCAGCAGCACCTTAGGCTCAAAGCCACCGTTCTTATGCCTCGTCTTGCATCAGCCAGGAAATCCCCAGGAAAAGCCGCATTTCTAGGGCAAAGGACCTGTTTCCTTACGTATGGCCTCCCCCCTGCTCCATCCTCGCGAAGGTTGGGAGGACAGGGCTGTGACACCCAAGGGTGCTGGGCAACATCACCCTTGCCAAGAGCCCCAAGCCAAGAGCCACAGCGCTGACCTGTCACCGTCCAGTCCCGTCCTGTCCCAGGCCACCACCAGGTCCCTGATCCTTCCCGGTCACTGCAGAGGCACCAGGGAGCTGGAGGGGGTGAGCAAGGGGAGATGCTGAGGGTCAAGGACCGCTGAGACCACACGTCTAGGGATGTCTCAGGGCTGTCGCTGGGCACGGCTGGGAGCATCCCCCGCTGCGCCGGTGCCGGCAACAGCCCCAGCTCTCCCCTCCCTTTCCTTCCCAGCGGAACGTTTCCGGACTTGGGGGATAAACAACCACCAGCATCATCACTGAGCCCTCCCCAAGCCACGTCTAGCACACGGTCCCAAAACCCCTGACACCCCGCTTGGCACTGTGCAGGATCACGGGTCTGCAACGCGGGGGTCTCAGCCAGAGAAACCCCCAGAGGAGAATCTGCAGAGACCTGACATACCTCGTTACATAGCAGGAAACTCAGCCTTCCCAGCACACATCCAGACCTTGGCACCTCTCAGGAGCTAAATCCACTGGCAGCCCAGCCCCAGGCACACCTCTGCCTCCTTCCCCACCCATGGGTGGGTCCCCACAGAGGGGCTGAGCACCCACACCTGCTCCCTGCCCCACCTGCAGCCAATATCCCACCAGAGCCATTGCTCTTCCCGAAACCCATCCTGGGCCTCCCTGGGTGAGCTCAGCTCCTGGGGGTGAAGGGGAATGGAGAGTTGCAAAATCCCTCTGAGCCCGGCGGTTTGGAGGAAAAATGTTTTTTTCCGGCCTTTATTCCCCTAAAAGCAGGACTGCGTGGCTGCTCTGGCACCCAGCACACTGCTGTGCCTCAGTTTCCCCTGCTTTAAAATGGGAATAAAGCTGTGATTTCCTCCCAGAGCTGACTCCAGACCCAGGGACAGGGCAGCAGCACCATGGGGGGACACGTCCTCCCCGGGGAGTCCCCTGTCACGGCATCCTCCCACACGGAGGGGATGCCACCCCGGTGTTACCTCCAGTCCGAAGCCAGGTCTCGTGGGTGATTTGGGGCTCTGCCAGTGCCAGCAG